ACTCCCACCCAGCTCTGCCTTCTGCCTTGCTAGGGAATCTGGGGCTACTTGGGGGAGGAAGCAGGGAGTGAGTATAGGGCATCCATATGACCATCAATCCTGTCGGGGCTCTCTTACTGTGTGTGTGCATGTGAGTGTGTGTGCATGAGTGTGTGTGTGTGTGTGTGTGTGTGTGTGTGTGTGTGTGTGTCTGCAAGTCTCAGGGGACAAGATAGGGGCTGTGAGAGAACTGGGAGTTCGGGTTTGAAGAGGGGAGAGAGAGGAAGGGGAAGATGATGTGCAGGCAGTGCATAAATAAGGATGATGAAGAGGCGAATCTGGAGGAGGAGATGGTGCCTAGGGAGGGATGTCCTATATCCCAATGGAGGAAATGGTGAAAGGGTAGTAAGAGGAGCTAAGGGAAGAGGGAAGCTTCTAGACTCCACTGTAGGTCGGAGCTGATTTCCACTAAAAGCACCTCAAAGGGCCCATATGGATTGGGGTGGAGATCAAGACCAGAGATGGAAACTGAGAAGTGCTGCCTCGCTACCAGGCTCAGCCAATGGTTTCGCAGGCTTCTTTGATATCTCCCCTTGAACTGTTCCCTAGTGAGTAGAGATAGACACATCCCCTCCCTCACTCACCTCCACAGCCATAAAAAAGGGTAATGGCTGGTATGCAACTTCTAAAACAGGATTGAAAAAGCAGCTATTATACCCTTGAGTTGGGCACATGAATCTCCTTCCTCAGGAGATGAACTTCTTGCTTAGACTTGAGTTGAGGGGCCGTCAGTGAGCCTTCCTACATGGGCCAGTGCCCAGGCTCTACATACCAGCCAACCAGATGTACTTCCAGGTGACTGTTTAGTTTGGGGAAATAGGATAAGGAACTGTTCCAGTCTCAACCACCTTATTAGATCAGCTGTGTGGAAGAAGAAGGGGACCTGCAGCCTAATTCCCAATGATCTTTGGAATAACTGTAATAGGACCCCAGACTTGAAAAACTGGATCTCTGAACAGGAAGCCAATAGTGTGGTCCCAAGAAACAGGAGATGATTTCTGGTTCCCTTTGGACAATTTTGAATTCTGGAGGAAGCCTGTGACCAGAGGAAGTTTAAATGGATTCAAAGAGCTTCATCGTGTGACAAGTCTCCCCATCTGCAAGTTCAAGGACTATTTATTCCTGGTCACTTAGCTGAGACTCATTCTGTTGCTTTTCCCTGCTCAGTGACGAGTATTCCCCCAATGTGTGGATCTGCCACATTGCCCCAGGACACAAGTTATACAACGTGGCTTGAGAAATCTCAGCAAGTCCAGCATTCTGATATCTAACCTTACTCAATAAGTAAATTCAGTAATCAAGTTACATCTCCTGATAATTTTGTGTCTGGTACTTCTTCACTTCCTCTAGAACCTATAGGAACTTGTCTTTTCCTATCAAAATAAATAAAAGGTGTGTGTGTGTTGGTGGGGGATCTGCTTCTTAACCATATCAGCAAAACTTTGGAGCCTTGAATTTGAATGCAACTCTTGGATTTAACTATAATTTCAGCAACTTACTAGTGAAATAGTTCTAGGCAGGTTGCTTTTTGAGAGGAGTTGCAAAGTTTTTATTACAACACCTACCCTGAGGACCTGAAGGTCTGTTTTAGGATATAAATAATAAAATGTACAAGTCTTTATGAATTGTTCTTTAAAGGACATTTTTTTTTAATTATCTTCTCATGCCATCCATTCTTGTGCTGTCCACTCACATAGCATTTCATAGTAAGGGACTTTGTTGACATTGCGTCTGAGAGACATGTCAAGAGCTGCCTGCATTCACACTGTTTCATTCCTTGCAGGTGGAACCACAGCAGAATGGAACAAAACCTCTGAGGCTGGAGAGTATTTGAAATGAATCTTTGAATAAGAGCACAGCATTTGTGGTTCATCAGAACCAAAAGTACCCATTCAACAGGATGCCTGTTAGCCCACGTGATGAATTGGTCCCATTCCTAAACCAAGATAAATTTTAGCCACATGTTATCCTAGGGCACACGGGGAGAAGAACCACCCCATTTCTGCTGGCTTTGGCTCCCTTTTCACACTATAGCCATCCCAACCAGCTCCTTCAGGCCTACCAGCTCTACTAGACTCTGACAAGCAGCCCAGAGACAGAAGTCTCTAGGAGGGAAACTTATGACCCATCCTTCCATAAGTTCTCTAGAACCCCTGGGACAAGTTTCTTTCCATATTCCGGCAAAAGAAACACTGGGGTGATGATCAGTCCAGCTTCTGCAGGAAGAGGCAGACTTCAAACTACCTCCTGTATTCTACGTATTCCTTCTTAAGCCTTTTCACCCCAATAAGCACAGACAATAGAACACACTCCCTGATACCATGGCTCAGTATGACAGAGTATTAATGAAAGACTTGGGAAATCTCTTGTGTATAAGAAAGTACCCTGAGCATAAGACTGAGTTTCATCAACATACCATTAGTCTTCTATGTAGAAAGAAGACTAAAATTGGATTTCTAAGTTTGCAGCTCTGAACATGAACAAGAAGGTGGATTCTTACCAGATACCAAATCTGATGCTGTTGGCTTTGGTCTAGACTTCCAGCCTGAGTGAAATACATTTCTGTTGAAAAAGTCAACAGAAATGAAACAGTAACAACTGCAACTTAACTGCATAGCACTATACCAAACTTATCTTAGTGTATTATTAAGTATTTGAAGCAATCTTCCAAAATGAATAGTATTATCTCCATTTTATAGATGTGAACAATGAAGCTCACTGAATAAATTGTTAAAAGTTATCCGGAGTCTCAATTAATTTCAGAATATGGATCTCAGCCTAATACATCTGTTCCTTTCTACTTTCTATAATATTTTCTACATTGTTGAGCTCACATAAATATATATGATCACATCGACCTTGTAAACATCACTATAACATGAACAAATCTGCTGATGCCTCAATCGATAATTTCAACCACCAGAATCATGGGAAATACATTTCTGTTGAAAAAGTCACCCAATCTATAGTAATTCATTTAGCAGTCTGGATTGGACCAGGACAGAGTAAACCTGCAGTTGGCAAAGGAATTTAGCGGAGCACACATTGCTGAGAGAACCTGAAGAGGAGCAGCACTGGTGGACTTGGATTCCACACCCTGCACTTCGGAACCATCACCACGTGAGCTTCCACCTCTAAGATCACCTAGGCTCACTCAGCACCTTCCCACTGGCCAGGGAGCCAGGAATGAAATGGAGGTGCTTGGTCACTGGTTGGGGACTTGGCCTGTCCCTGAGACCAGATGGCAAGTTCTGTCCTGCTTCCAGACAATCCCAGGTGCTTCTCTTCCTGAGAAGCCAGTCATTATTCTGGAACCCTGCACAGAGCTCCTTAGCACCCCCTCTTCTCAGAAGAGGATGGGACAGCAATAGGGAGACCTGGAAATGGAAGCAGCCTGCCTATCTCCAAACCCCCCTGGTAGGACTCCCACAAACCCAGAGATTATGTCCTGATGGAAAAGTCTGTGAGGTCAGAGCACTGCAGGGTTCCAGAGTAATAGAGTCCTGAGCAGAAGTTAAGAGCTTGAGTGCCAAAATGTTATTTCCCCCACCTCCTCCTCCTCTTCCTCCTCCTCCTCTTCCTCCTCCTCCTCCTCCTCCTCTTCCTCCTCCTCCCCCCTTCCTCCTCCTCCTCCTCCTCACTACTACTACAATAACTGATACTACTGCTACTTCTGGTACTGGAGATTAAATACAGGGCCTCACAAATGGGAGGTAAGGGCTTACTACTGAATCACACATCCTACCTTTAAATTTATTTAGTTTTTTTTTTTTTTTTTTTTTTTTTTTTGAGACAAGGTTTGCAAACTTTCCCAGACTGGCCTCAAACTTTGATTTCTCCTGCCTCAACCTCCAGAGTAGCTGGGATAAAAAGGATAAAGCACAGAATTTGACCAGTATCACATTTCTGAGCTCAACTCCTGACTCCACAACTTATGGGCAGCTGCCACTATGGTCAAGTTATTTGATCTCTACATATCCCACTTTTCTCTTCTTTAAAATGGAAGCATACAGTAAAACCTCAAAGAGTAGCAGTGAGGATTAAACAAAAAGACTCTTGTGAATTGATTTGCAAGGTTTATTCAATATTTGATTGCTATTCTTATCCCACATACTATTCTTTGCCTTCCTGCTGTGTTGTGCTACCTGCCTTTTTCCATGTAGAAGACTCCACAATTATAATTTGACAATTGGAAGTATCTCCGAACTTTCCTGCACACCTTTTGGAGGCAAGGGCATGGGGAAGGGAAGGGATTACCCCCTGGTGTCTGGCTATTCCCTGTAAAGTGTGCCCGGTGACTGATAGCTCCAGTGCAAAAGTGCCTTTGCCTGCGTGGCTAAAGCTGTGCGCTGTCTTGGATTAGCATCCTAGATGGGAGGGGGTGGGGCAGATCCATTGTTTGTCCTTGACTTCAACCCCACCCCCCACCCCCGTGTTCCTCGGCTTCTGCGGGATGGAGGCGGGCTGCACCCACGCTCTCTGCTCATCTCGATGGAAACCAATTTTCACCTCCCAGGTGTCTGGGAGAATAGGATGGTAATGTGAACAGTAGGTGCCACTGTGATTTCCTCAGTATTCCCTGTGCAAATTACCCAATACCCAACCGTTATCGGGGAACCATGACTGGATTTGTAACCAACTCCCACTGACGGACCAAGTCCTCTCCCATTTCCAGAGAGAAGTCTCGCGGACGACTCCGCGGGATGCCAAGCAGAAGTCCAGCAGCCAGTAAAAGAGAAGCGAAGGAGAAAAAGCAGAAAAAGAGGGGAGGGGGGCCAAGATCTGTCGGCAGAGGCAACAGCAGATTGAGCCCAGCCAATGGTAACCCCAGGACGAGGTGGCATCAAATTCCCTTTGGCCAATGACAGGCCAGAGTTTACAGGAGTCTCATTTGCATTTCGCAGAGGCAGGAGCTAGGGAGGCGCGCTGTAGGAGTCTGCAGCATCCCTGCGCTGTGATTCTTGTCGGTACTGCTTTCTGTCCCTTACCATCTCCTGCCATCATCTCCACGCAGAGCTGCCGCGTTCAGGCAGCTCTGCGCAGGCAGCTCTGAGCACTTTGCCCCTTGTTCAACGAATAAAAGGTGCCTGAGTTAATACCGGGCACCGTCATCCCCTGTCAGCTCTACCCCTTAAATTTCRCCCGGGGAGATCTGCGCACAGCGGGTGGGCCTGCACAGCCATCCTGCGTGCAACAGCATAGTATTACGAGCGCAGCTCCACCGATCGCTGAGCCGAAGTCCACCCTCAATCTCAGCTGTGCCAAATTCGCTCCGCAGCCTCAGCCCCGGGAGCGTGATCCCAGCACCCGAGAGCCAGATGCCCACCCACAGGCTGCAGGAGGTGAGCATCCCAGAAGTGGCCCCCCGCCCCGCGGCCGGAACTGGGGGTCTTTTAGGCTATTGGTTGGTGGGAAGACAGTTAAGAGCTCCTGGACTGGCCCACATTTCCAGAGTTCTGCAGACCTCGGTTGATTGGGGGTGTGGATTGTAATGTGAAGGATGGATTCGCCAACGTTTTTTCCTTTCTTAAGTTTTAAAGTAAAGAAAAATCTGATTGTGGAATTTCATTTTTGTGTTACTAGGTGAAGAGTCTCTCTGTCTCTCTCTCTCTCTCTCTCTCTCTCTCTCTCTCTCGCTCTCGCTCTCGCTCTCGCTCTCTCGCCCTCTCCTGCTCCTTCACCTGCAGATTTCTCTTCCAATCTATCTGCACATTTTTTAGGGAAACTTCCCCCCTGTTCCTTCTTGGGGTACATACAACACTCGTGTATCCTGGGCACTGGGGCAGGGGCATGTGCTCTACACTCCCCCTCAGCTGCATTAGAGAGTAAAGTGCCCCTCCTGCCAACAAGCAATCTCCTCTCTCTCCACTTCCTCTCCTTACAGATCTCTAGCTCCTATACCACTACCACCACCATCACAGCACCTCCCAAGGAGGAGAAGACACTTACATACCTAGAAGAAGACATCCGTCCTGAAATAAAGGATGACATATATGACCCCAGCTACCAGGATGCAGAGGGCCCTAGGCCCAAACTTGAGTATGTCTGGAGAAACATCATCCTCATGTGTCTGCTGCACCTGGGAGCCCTGTATGGGGTCACACTGGTTCCCACTTCCAAGTTCTACACTTGGCTCTGGGGTAAGCAAGGTCCCTTGTCCTGAGCAAGTAGTTCAGGTTTCTCACTGGTCTTTGATAAGGTGGGGTCTCCACTGAGCAGCAACCACTCTTTATTCAGGTTTTGACAGCCATAAGTCTTTGGTTGCCTGAGAGACTGACTGGGCTGGGGATAGAGACCCTAGTAGGATTAAGATGCAAGAGAGACAGTTGTCTGGGTCCCTTCCTGGGAAGTAAACATTGAGACAAGATGCAAGGGGGCTTTGGGGTATAGATAAGTGAAAGAGAGTTTACTGTCCCAGAACCCAACATTTCTGTTTGAGTCATTTATTTGAATGCCTGTCTCTGTCCTGCTTCCCACAAGTCCACTACCTGAGAGTCATGGGAACCCTGGTTTTATTGGTTGCAGGTTGAACATAGACAGGAGATAAAGCCAAAGGAAACTGCTCAGGAGGAGAGATCATAATAAAGCATTGAACACCAAAGGTGGTTATCCACAAAACTATTTTAACTTGACCGTTTGGCTAGACCAACCTTTTCTATCATAGGGGTAGAATAACAAGGCTCCTATATGACCCAAGTTGCATGGATGTGTTGCTGTCAGGTAGGTCTCCTGGGGACAGCAAATGTCAGCCAAAGAAATGTTCTTAGAATGACAGAGGTTGCAGAATGTTTCATTCCTCATCCCACAAGCTCCTTCCCTTCTCTCCAGATGCCATGTAATGACAAGAACCCAGCACTTTCCAATACTAATTTTCCCTGGCACCTACCCATTCTTCCTTGGAAGGGACAGCCAGGCCAGAGAATAGAACCTTGAGCAGCCTCAGCCTCCAATTGCCAATTCATCTCTGAGCTGTCTTTTTATCAATTCTTTCCCAGATCCCATGGCTCGGGGCTGTTAGCAGGTCTGCCCCCTGGATCCATGAATGCACTTTGCAAGTAGATTCACCTCTGCCCCTGAGGCTGAGTTAGGAAGGGAGAGTAGGAAGCTCTCGAGACCTAGAGGCAAAATTACTGCTCTCTGTTGGGAGAGTCAGGACCCGCTCTCCAAAAGACAATCAGAGGTTTTCTGGAGCAGTCGCAGGTGTGAGGTATTTTCTAGCAGTTGTCTTGGGAGGGTAGTAGTGTAGAGTTGGTTGGCAGGTATTAGATGGTACCCCACTGCCCAACCTGAGCTCTTAGGTGTTATAAGTGGTGAGATCTGATCCCTTGAGTTTTGTCTTGGAAAATTCTCCAGGTGCCATGCAACTGAAATGATGTCCATTCTTAGGATGGAACTCTTTCCGTGTACCAAGAGGGGAAAATACTACCTTGTAAAGATTAGAAATGTCATATTCTTTAGGTCACTGTGTGTCATCCCAGAATTTCTCCTAGATCATCTATTTCAAGAGCCTTCTTTCTCTGAGGACTATAGAAGAGTCCTCAAGCCAGGGTTGAATAACTATCTCTGGCAAAACTTAGGGCTGAAGGGTAAAGCTTCTACTTCTCAGGGCAGAGTTATGAGATGCTGCTTAGCCATCAGTGTGGACACTGTCATTCCCAGGGTATGGAGGCGGGGAGAACAAATCTAATTGACTGAAACTTCTATTTGACGTATTGACAGGTATAGAGAGAACAGGCACCAGAGTGACTGGGATCTTGTTACAATTTCCCTGTTAAAATGGGATGACATGTGCTCTTTTGGAAACAATGGGCCAGAGCCATCTGCACCATGAAACAACCCTAGATGCTCCCTTGCCTCTTGTCAAAATGTTTCTGCTTTGCCCAAAGCCAATGTCTTCTTTTGTGGTTGCAGGGATCTAGCTCCACTGTGGTTTATTCTGGTACAGATGGAGTGAGACACTGTATCAGGGAAGAAGATCTCAATCACCACTTGGCCAGAGGGCCTAAGTTACCTGGGTCCTCAAGCCCAGAGCAAAGGGAATGTGGCCAGAACTTTCCATAGACAGTCACTGTCTGTGTGGCTCTCCTAGGAATCTTAAGGAGGAGCAGGATAGGGTATAGTAGGCAGGAGAAAGAGGAGGAGGCTCTTTAGAAAACTGTTATCCCTGTCTGTAGAAGAACTAGAACAATTTGTTACAATGTGCTGTCTTGAACCACAACTAAATGTGATCCCTGAAGATCCATAGTTGTACCTGCCAGGTCAGAATGAAACATTGCTAATAGTTTCTCCCAAGGCCTCAGCCCCTGGTTCCCTACCCTCCTTTCCCCAGGAAAGATCATATCTGGCACCTCCTTAGTCTGCAAACTAAAGGAAACTGAGGAAGGATAATGTTAGTATTCCTCTACCAGCTTTGAACATTCTCAGCTATGTTTCGAATTAGCATTGATTTGTGAAAATCTGGTTGAAAGAGCAACACTGCAAAGGAGAGACCTGGGAACTGGGCATAGTTCTAGAGGGGCAGAAGGCTGAGATAGAACAAGAACTTCTTGTTGACACACTCTTGCCCATGGATTTTAAGCTTTGTAGGAGTAGTCTGGGACTCTGAAACTTTAGATAAGGTCAGTTAAGGTCAAAACACATAGAACCTTGAATAATGCCCCTGGACACAGACAGTGACAGTGGCACAGTGATGAGAGATTTATTCCTCTCTTACTGTCCTGCCTCCCTAGTTCCTGGGAATCCTTAGCTTGTTTCCATTCCTACATGGAAAGGATGGAAAATGTTGATATTTTCTCAATTATGAGGCCTCAGATGTCAAATCATCCCTATGGTTCAGGGGGAGCAGATCCTCACACAAAGCCTAAAGCACACACAGGCTCTGGCTTTAGGAGAGCAATTTGACATGCCTTTATGGACTTACCTGTTGGTGACTCCTGCACTGTCTTGTCCTGGCAGCCTATGCATACTATTTAGTGAGTGCCTTGGGCATCACAGCAGGAGCTCATCGCCTGTGGAGCCACCGAAGTTACAAAGCACGGCTGCCCCTGCGGCTCTTCCTGATCATTGCCAACACCATGGCGTTCCAGGTAAGAAGCTGGTGCTGCTCAGCTCTCAGTCCGTAGTTGATCCAAGGTGGAACGAAGGGGATCTGTGCCTGGAGAGGAAGCCCCAGCAGGCAGTCATTGACCTTTCCAGTCTTCTGAGGTCCTCTCAAATGAGACATTGCTTAGATTTTTCACACACGGAACTCTTCAGAATCACTAGGAAGGGAAATAGCGGGGATCACTATATAAATCTGTAAAGGTATAGGGTCATTATACACTCTAAGTTCCCTGTGTTCTCACACAGTGTGGCCAATTATAAAGGATGACAACTCATAAGCCAGGCATTGAGCCTTGTTTTCTGGCCAGACACTGGATAATAAACTTATGCTTCAAGGGCATTATCTTAGAATCTTGTTACAATTTCATTAAAATTAGTCTCATTGACTCAGGAACACTGTTGTTTCAGGTAATAAGAGCAAACATCCCTATATCCTGACTGTGATAATCACTTCACATAGGTTAACTCATTAAGTCCTTACACACCTTAGGGGTAGGTCCTATTTTTATCCCAAATATGCAGATGAGGAAACTGAGTCATTGAGAGGTTGGATGGACTGACCTTCTGGTCCCATCTGGGGCTGCCATGCTAGCTGAGCCAACTAGCAAGGTCAATTGTAGCACAAATTTATAACAAACAGGATGGAAAGGAGGGGACTTTTATACCTATTAAGTTATAGCAATGGGCACAGGATAGCTGGTGGTATGGAGCTTAGTTTGTCATAAGAGGAAACTAGAAAACTGTTAAGCCCCTTTGTCTTGGCCATATCTGAGGTCTTAACTATATCTGCATAATCATCTTTGCCCTAGCACCCTACCTGATGATGCTTATGGGGTCAAGGGAAGGAGGAGAATTTAGTATATTCTGGAAAAAAAGAAAGAGTCCCACACAAGCAAGAAGGCCTCTGGAAATGTGGTCATGGTCATGAGTTTCATGCTGCTCTTAGGTTAATGAGCTATGACTTGTGAAGGCATCAGGACAGAGCTCTCCAGAAATTTATCTACAGAATAGGACCTGAGGCCACCTGCTTCATACTTCTCCATGCCCCTTGTGTGGGCACCCCTTGAGGACCTTGTCCCTCATTCTTTGATAGAAGAATTGCAATGTTCTTTCTTAAGGAAATAAATGAACATTATGATTTACCTACATCCTCCCCACCATATAACATTCAGGAAACAGCAGTGCTGTTCTTGTGTCTGGGACTGTAAGTCGCTTTTCTGCTCAGGCTCCAGGGAAGAGTGCAGAAGAGGGCAGGTCCCTTCATTTCTCTTCTGGAGCCAGACTCTTGGGGACTCTGTGAGGTTAGGCTGAGAGCCTTGGGCCCTTGCAGACATCTGGGCATTGGACTTCTCCCAGGAGGGCATCTCTCCTCAGGCCTGTGTTCCTCTTCTCTGTCCCTCTAGAATGATGTTTATGAATGGGCCCGAGATCACCGCRCCCACCACAAGTTCTCAGAAACAGATGCCGACCCTCACAACTCCAGACGCGGCTTCTTCTTCTCTCACGTGGGTTGGCTGCTTGTGCGCAAACACCCAGCTATCAAAGAGAAGGGGGGATCTCTGGACCTGTCTGACCTAAAAGCTGAGAAGTTGGTGATGTTCCAGAGGAGGTGAGCTAAGGGAAGATGGGGCTGGGGATGTGGCCCTAGGCATCTGGGATTTGGGAACCCAACCTTTTCTCTTAACTCTTACAAAATAAAGTTGAGAATTTACTGGTTTTGTAAGTTCAAATCACTTATGGCCTTTATCTCTGAGCTATCTTGATGAAATCAGTTAAATGCAACAAATCTTTCCTGACTGGAATAGTCACGGACACAAAAATGAAGGTTGTTAAGACCTCCCCTTCTAAGAATTTGTTGTCTGTTGGGATGGAGGGATAAGGCAAGTACCCAAACCACCATAATAGGAGGCAATTTATGGTCTGCACTAGGAGAGGTATGGCGTGAGGGTGCATGCTCAGCGTGGACACGAGAAAAAGGGTTATAAATGAAGTAGTATCAGAATCCATCCATGGAGAGAGACTTTCACAAGTATGTGTGAGCAGGGACAGCACAAAAAGAAAGAATGGAATAGGCCAAAGTCTCAAGCATGTTCTTGAAGAACGTCCTTCTGCCTAACATGTAGGGCAGGGCAAGAAAAAGGACTAGACACAGACTCAAAATTTTATTCAGCAAACAGAATGGTTTCCTCATCAGCAATGTGACACAGTCAGAAGTGTGCTTCAGAGAGGATGCTCTTGTGCAAGTGAAAGTAACTACTGAGCCAGAGAGAGATGAGAGGCAGGGACACAGGTTAGACAAGAAGAGGGGCCATGGTGGGGAAGCAGTGGCAGTAATAGAAAGSAGTTAGAGGTAGGTATGTCAGTGACATATAAGTCATAGATGTGACTGCTAAAGGGAGGTAGGCAATCCATTCCCTTGAAGTGTCAATGGCTTGGTTTTTGGGAGTAGAGTATAGGTCAGGGCCTCTGGAGGGACAGAGACCTGCAGGTGGCCAAGGACACTTGGTGTGCCTCCTGAGGGAAAAGCAGAGCAAAGAATTAGGCAGTGGTAGCAGCAAATGGAGTCAAGGCCCCTAATATAGACTGTGTGCCAAAGGTCTTGGTGGCAAGCTAAAGATCCTAAGGCAAATGGACAATAGCACAAGCAGCAAAACTCTGCTGATGAGTTTGAGATTTGACTCTCATTTGTTTGATCAACGTGGCCTTATGGTCCCATTAAAGATGAAAGAACTTCTTATCAGGAGACAGGTAATCCAGTCTTCACTTCACTTGCTAGTGGGGTGGTCCTAGAAAAGTCATTTAAGGTATTCACATTACCCCATCTAAAGTCGAAGGTACTATTATATACTCAAGTATTTCACTCCATTTCCTTATGCTGGCTTTTGCCACCCTGTGGGACTCTCACAGGGACTCACTGTGGGATCTCTCAATGTAGGTACTACAAGCCCGCTGTTCTGATGATGTGCTTCATCCTGCCCACACTGGTGCCCTGGTTTTGTTGGGGTGAAACCTTCCTACACAGTTTGTTTATTGGTACTTTCCTGCGGTACACTGTAGTGGTCAATGCCACCTGGCTGGTGAACAGTGCTGCCCACCTCTATGGAAATCGCCCCTATGACAAGAACATTAACTCTGGAGAGAATGTCCTGGTTTCCCTGGGAGCTGTGGGTAAGTCACCAAAGCCTAACATAACCGCATCCAGTGGTCTGCTTTGGGGGGTATTTGGCTAGGAGTCAGAAAAACCTGAATAAAGTGCTTTTATGACCACTTTACCTTTCCCCCTTATTGGAAATTAAACTCAAGTGTGCTCTACATTTTTATTTTTTTATTTTGAGGTAGGGTTTCTCTTGCTGGGGCTGGCCTCAAACTTATGATACTCCTGTCTCAGCATCCCAAGTCTCTGGGATTTTTGGCATACACAAGCATGCCTGGCTTTTATAACACCTTTAAAACTCATTTTTTTTAAACTATAAAACTGGGGTGGGGGCAATATATTGGAAAACCCTTATGAGAATCAGGCAACAACTCTTATATAAATAGAAAGGGTGAAAATTAATACTATTTTCAATGTGAAGTTGTAAAACAGTATCTTAATGCTGCCTGTAATGAGTTTTCCTTTTTTTGGCAACTCTGAGCAGATCTGTAGTCTTTAGTGTGGAAAATGCTTGATAGAAAAATAGGGTCACCTTCATGGCTTGTAAGCCTAGTGCTTTATATTTAAATATGAAGAACAAGTATAATTGGGTTCAATAAACTTCCCATATGCCACATTTATAGTGTTTTGCTTTTTAAATGAATATGCCACACTTTAATGTGTAGGCTATGCCTTATTGTTTAGTGATGCCAGTATGAGGGGCATCAGTGCAATGGTTGCAGGCCTTTACCATCACCTGTCACCCTGTCTCCTCTTGTCCTTTATTGTTAATCTTCTATTGTGTGCTAGAAACTCCCCCTTCCCTGAAGTTGCTTAGGGAATCCTCTGATAGGGCAGGTAACCTTCATCAAAGTTCCTGCTTCTTGATCCAATCTTGACTGCTCTTGAACTTATTTGTCTCTGTAGTTCCATTCCCAATTGCCAGATAAAGAAAAATGGAGTTCTTCCATCTGCCTTCATGGTTTGATGTCCTTTTTTCCAAATTAATATAGACTTTGACTGAGACCTGAAGTTGGTTTTCCTTCTGCAGAATCTGTGCCCCTTTCTGCTCATGGATCAAAGCTGTTCTTTATCCAGTAGCATCTTGGCAGTCACCCTGCTCACATGCCTAAGCTCATCACTGCATAACTCATTTTTCCTCATTAATTTTTTCCTGATATATTCTCAACCCAGACCACATTCACTAGCTTTGTTATGAAATTTTTTTCCTATCTCTTTTTTACTTCTATACAGCTTTCTGCTCCTTTCAGGAAAATTCTTGCCTGTTCTTACTTTGACTCATCTTTGAAATAAATCACCTACACACTGTCCAAATCTGGAATTTTCATAGAAATAGAATAGTCTAGAATGAGATGTGTCCTGTGTTGTAAGTGGAACTCCAGTGAGCTTCCACATCTGCAGCTCTTTGTGACCCTCTGTTCAAACTAGTTGCCAATATCTTACTTTCTCCCATTTGTCATTTGCTTCTGCAAACCTGCTCTTTTGTCCATGTCCCCTCACCCATTGCTCTCCTCCACTCTCTCCTGCCATTCTCACCTTGTTGGTCTTGACTTACCCCAACAGTCACATGCTCATCCTCTCTGACAAAGCTGACCTTCCTCTAGAGTCTTTCTTCAGCTCTTTTCCCCAGTTGCTCCCATTGACTCTCTCCCCTTTTTCCATTCCTTGTCTCTGTGTGTGTGTGATTCATTTTAAATCTGATACCTACAGGCATGATGAGTGCTCACTCAGAGTCTTGCTGTGAAGCCACAGGTGGAAGTGGCAATCCCGGGTCACCCTTAGCCTTAGTGTTATCCCTCCACCTACCAGTGCACACCATGGACAGCCTGGTATACAGAGGGATAGGCACCTTGAGATGCCCAGGTTGGAGTCATTTGCTTGGCAGAACCTCCTTTGATTGCTTGCTATTCTTATCATTACTGCTATATCTGGGGATGCTTTTATCTACAAAGGGTCCAACAACCTCTATTATTATGGCTGATCTTTACCCAGGCCTGATAAGAGCCAATGTTGTTAGTGTTGGAAGTTGTTGAGAAAGAAGAATCCTGCCAAGAGTTGCCAAACATTTTACCAATTACAGAAATTGTCCAGGATCCTAAGTTTCTTTATTTTCCACTACAGTACAGTGAAATGCTCTTCCCAAGAGTTCTCAGAATCTCAGAAATTGAGAGGTTTTCAGAATGGTTCTGTTTTATTGGTACCTCCTCCAACACATGATTACCTCAGAGAACTGGGAGCCAGAGTAGCCCACTGAACCAACAGAGGCTAGGAGAATACCTGACCCTGGCTAGGTCTGCTTTCTTCTGGTTTTCCCTGTTGCCATCATTCTATTAGAACCTTCCACCTTTACAGGGACCATTAGCACAGAGTAAAACTTGTGTTTTTTACTCAGTTTTGTAAAAAACACGGCAATGGTTCTTCTTCTGTACCCTCCCCTCCCCACCCTAACATGCACAAAAGCAAAGAGCTCAAGGGTCTCGAGCCAGCATTTACTAAAGTTCTGTATTTTCCAATGTAAAATCCTTTCCTAGGATAACTTCTCTTATCCCCTAAGGGAAACTTCTCACCAAGGAAACCATGGGTGACCAGGCCCTCTTGACTCATTGCTTAGTCTGAGGGCTTCTGTTTGCTTCAGAGTAGAAGACACAGTGTTCATCCACTCATCCACTTATCAGTGGGTTTCTCTGAAGTTCATGGTACTCTGCTATGCAAGAGATATGGAAAACAGCAATCTGCCAAGCTCCCTAACTTCTCTCCTTGGTTTTGTTCCAGGTGAGGGCTTCCACAACTACCACCACTCCTTTCCCTATGACTACTCTGCCAGTGAGTAYCGCTGGCACATCAACTTTACTACATTCTTCATTGACTGCATGGCTGCCCTTGGTCTGGCTTATGACCGGAAGAAAGTRTCCAAGGCTGCCATCTTGGCCAGGGTTAAAAGAACTGGAGATGGAAGCTACAAGAGTGCCTGAGTTGTGGGTTGTCCAGATTTCATTTCTAAAGCCATCTGGGCAGAAGTTTAATGTTCTGTTAATAACTACTGAAAAGTATTACCAGATGCTAAAGTTGATGACCTTAACTCATTCCAGTATTGTATTCTTTTAAAATGCAAAAGGTTTGATAACTTTTTTAGGTAGTGCATATTTTAATCAGTAAGATATAAACATTTCTCAATACATATGCTTCCAAACATGTTGCACACTATAAATACATACATTTTTACATGTCATTTAAAAAATTATTAATAAATTCTAAAAAAATAAATTCTAAAAAAAGAAAGAGAGAATTTAAAACAAACAACTCAACTATTATGATAGTACTTTGCTAAACTTATTTCTTCTCTCTACTCTTTCTGTTGTTCTTTGCTTTGTTTGTGTCACCTTCCTTTCTCTTCCTTTTTATAGCCTCCTAACCAACAGATGTTTGGCCACTGGTCTGTGTCACCTTCCAAGCCTAGGCATAATTTCAGGCATCTAAACATAATGATCACTGCCCCAGATAACTCTTTCCTCAATATGTCCTCAGACTCAAGGTAGGTAACTCAAGCTAGACATACAATAAAACCTTCTGAGACATCCTCTGCTAATTATCTTCAGTCTAGTCTTTGCTAGATGGAATAGAGAGATAGCTTGATTTGGCATACAGCTGAAGAGCAGTTATATCATCAGGAAGAGAGATAGTATGAAGAATATGATTTATAAGGATGGTGTTGATATGGGAAAAGAGAAAAAAGGAAGCTTTTACAGGGATAAGACCCTGCCTAGCACAGACACTGAGCCCCTTCACACAGCATTTTTCCTGTCTCTCCTGACTCAGTTATGGAGTTTGATGATAGGAAACAACAGCAAATCAATAACTAAGAATCAAGAAGCATTTGTGTAGTTGTAAGAGTGGTCTCTCCTGGAGAAGGACTTTATTTTTTGTTAATAACAAGAAGATGTCTTACTTCATGGGATTAGATTTCAGGTTGGATGCGTTCAATACAACATTACAGCAGCTCAGAGTTTTGAAGATACAATTGGGCCAAACTTAAAAATAAACTGACATAAAATCTTTAATTGAAACATGCAAATGTTTCACTTGGAGTATTACCTCTGAAAAAGAAACTTGAAGTAAAGAAAGAATTTTCTGGGTGGTCTGTTCATTCCACAGATGGACAGGAGATGGAAAAGTTGACAGACTGCTCTTGTAGGCAGCTATAAGAGATCACTTCCCAAAGGAAGGACTCCAATGACACATCCAGGGGAGTCAGAAGTTACATAGTAAGTTATTAAGTGTCCTCATGAAATAAGTTTGATGTTAGCTTCATTCATTAGTCTCAGTTTCTCATAGGATTGAGTGAAAACTAGGCTTCTTCCCATAGTATTGGACCCCTTCACTCCTTGTTCTGTGACCAGTCTACAAATGCAGGACTGTCTGGGGGATAGGTAGGAATAAATCTCTTAACCACCCTGATTCTGGATTCCTGGCTTTACCTCAGCCGTCTTTTTTCTCTTACCAGTGATGTCTGTTCCCTGACATTTTCTTGTCTCTGGACAGGCAGCCTCCTGTGTATATTCAGGGCAGAGAGGACTTGCTGTCCAGGCGGCTTTCTCCTGTAGACACAATGCTCATTGGCATCAGCCCTGTGTCTCTTCAGCAGGTAGAGTTGACTGCCACTTTCCTGTGGCCTCCAGATCCTCTTCTCCACCACAGTGAGTGTACCCCACTCTGACTGCTCTAAGTAAAGCTGGCAGACACTTTAGAAACATCTTTGTCTTGAAGAGGATCCCTTTCATGAGGCATAGCCAAGGCCAATGCTCACATTTTTCCATTGAGCTGGCCACAGTAAAAAATGGCTTGTTGTCAGTCTCCTCTGGGTCAGAACAGAGAGTGTTCAGCAAAGCAACTTGGGCTAATTGGTGTATGCAGCTAATGGTGCAATACTTTCAAAAAGAAGAGGCGGAAACAGTCTTCTGGGAAGTACAAAGGGGGGGGGCAGTTCCCAAGTGCAGCATATTGAAAGGAGTCCCTGCCCTGGAACCAGGATCTGCTGGAAAGCTTGGGCTAAGACGTGGGATCTGAGATGCCAGGATCTTTGTTGAACATTGTATATATTTTCAGAACCTGGGACCTTTCCTGTCCCTGTTCCTCAGTCATCAGTGCAGAAGCCCAACTCTGCTCTTTAGGATTGGCAGCATACAATACCAAATGCTGTTAACTGTTGAGGCCTAGTGGTGTGAGAGAGCAGGACCTTCCTTCCTGTGTTAGTTGTATAGAAGCTACAGGGGCCAGCCTGCACTAAGGCAGCCTTGTCTTTGAGCTGTTCATTAAAGTAGAAAAGAACTTTATAGAAAATCACTGTAGATCAGATCTACTGACTTGTACCTACCCCTGGAAATGTCTCTTGGCTGATTTTTATTCTACTGGACATCAGATGCCTACTTTATGATACATGAACAGCAAACTCAACTTTCTTTTCTAGTCCTGTAACATGGAACTGATCCATTCAATGTTYGTTCATACACAAATGGTACAGACCCCAGGTTGAGGACTGCAGCATATATGGGGGTATGTAGTAGGTAGAAGCATGCCAGTATAGTGAACAACACTTCTTAAGGTTTGAAGCCTCAATTCAAGTGACACGATAATGAGAAACTCTGCTCTTAGCAAGAGTGAGTTTCTAATGGTCCTTACCTTGTGGACATGTTGAAAACTGATTTCTGTGCCTTATCCTTTTTCTAACCCATGTTGCAGGTGAATCTGCCCTCACGCTCTTTGAGTAGTCCTTTACTCCTTGAGAGACTATAAAGTGGCTAGTATCAATAAGAGTCTGCCTGGTAGGTTATCAGCACAGGTATTTGCAGGATTCCTTTCTGGGCTTCATTTTGGAAATTTATGGCTGTTTTATTAAGTGTTCAAATATGATGGTGGGTGAAAGTAGTTTGAATGTATTTATTATTCTTTAAATGAAATAATGGTGGTAGCACATAAAATAGAAAGTTTCTCCTTGGTTTATTAATATCCTGTGTGTAGTTTCTGAATAGATAGTACAAATAAGCTAGTTTGAAGGGTAAATGAAGTAAGGCAACTGTGTTACACTGGTGGCTAAGATCTTAGCCTCTCTTGTCCCTGTTTTACCAACTTGCTATGTGAGCTTCACTTTTAAACCTATTAATGAGATAAGGTCATTAATCCATTCAGAACCTTCTCAGAAGTCCCATCTCTGAATCTGCTACATTAGGGATTAAGTTTCCAATACATGAACTTTAAGGGACACACTGAAATCATTGCACCGGGCAAGTCACGTAACTATAATGTGCCTCACATTTCCTTTTGTTCAGATGGAGTAATAATACTGACCTACCTCTTAGGCAGTTTAGAGGTTTGACTAAAACTTTTTATTAAGCCTTTGAGATCCTCAACAGAGAAATTCTCAAGCCCTGCAGACTTTTATAGTAGCAGTATCCAGTATGAAATTGACATGCACGTATGTCCTGGATACCATCATTAGCCTACATGGTTCTCTCAAGAGATTGAACGCATCTATTGGAGAAGGGGTATATAATGAGTCAGACAAAAATTGAGAATGCATTATCATTGCCATGAAAACATACACAGGATACATTTTCCTTACCTGGGTGGGTTTTTCTTCTTTTTATGTATGTAGTTATTTGTAACCGAAGAATAATTTTTTTTAATATCAACCCCAAAGCTAGTGGTACTCACCTGAGATTGTGTTTGTTATTAATAAAAGTGAAGTGAATCTGATTGCACTGTGTCTTGGAGCTTATTGGCTGTCATGTAGTCTCCTGGGACCTGTCTCTGTGGCCTATCATCATGTATGTGTCCTGCACCTTTAAGAGGAAAAACCCCAAAACAAACAAACAAAAACAGTAGAGTCACATCCCCAGTAATCTGCCCTGTCTTCCTAAGGGTAATTTATGTTAACTGTTCAGCAATTCTGGGCAGCAGAAAAGAAGATGTCTGTTCCTATTAAATCGAACACCATTTTTTCCCTCATCCCTAGAGGGAAAACAAGGATATTGGGAAAAAAAAAAAAAAGTCCGTCAGAACAGGAAAAGAAGAACCATCTAAATTGGACAGAAAGAAGGAAAACTATCTCTTTTTGAAGATGTTACGACATGCACATGGAAAATCCAAAAGAATACACACAACTTTTACTGAAGCTAATAAATTCAGTAATGTTGCAAGATACATTAGCAATATGCAAAAATCAGTTGTATTTCTCTAAACAAGTAATGAACACACTAAAAATGAAATTAAAGAAAGACTTCTATAACAGCATCAGAAAGAATAAAATAAATAGAAATAAACTCAACAAAAGAAATCAACAGTATGGTACACTGAAAATTACAAAATGGTATTGAAAGAAATTGAAGGAGGCCTAAATAAATACAAAGAAAGTCCATGTTAATAGACTGAAAGACTCAGTATTGTTAAGATAATAATATTCCTGAAGCTGATCTACAGATTCAGTTGTCATCAAATTCTGACTTTTAAAAAGAAAATTTGACATGCTCATTCTAAAAGTCATAGGGAAATTTGTGGTATTGAGAATAGCCACAAAAAAACAAAAACAAAAACAAAAACAAAAAAATCACCTTGCTATACAAACTCAAAGTTAGAGGACTGATACTTTCTGATTTCAAAATTACTTCTGAGGGTCCATAGTGAAGATAATGTGATATATCACTGGCATATGAACACATAAATCAGTAGAATGGAATTAAGAGTGTAGGTATAAACCCTACAGTTATTTTTTATAAGAGTATGCAGACAATTCCACAAGGAAAAAATAACATTTTTTAACAAGTGTTGCTGGGATAACTAGATATCTATATGCAAAGGAATGCTGGCCCACTAACTCATACCATATTTAAATATTAATCCCAAATGAATCAGCTAATACTATAAAACTCTGAGGAGAAAACATAGATGTAGATACCTATCACCTTGAATTAAACTGTGGTTTCTCAGATATGACATCAAAAGACAAAAAACAAAAAGAGATAATTTGGACTTCATCAGAATTAATAACTGTCCCTTCAAGAGATGCTACCAAAACATTGAAAATGTAACCCACTCAATGGGAGAAAATATTAGCAAATCTTTTATTAGATAAGAGACTAGAACTCAAATTAGAAAAGGAGTCCTTACAATTCAACAGCAACAAAAAAGAAACTAATTTTAAAGGAGACAAAGTGTTTTTGTTAGCTTTTGTAATGATGCATAGTAATTGTATAGAGTTGTGGCATATTTGTATATGC